GGGAAGTGCTGGGATGGACAGGTCCTATGACTACTTCCTGTCCTACATGAACAGTACTGAAGCGCCTTCCGTGCTGAAGAGGACCAGCATGACCGCGCTGAAAAACTATGATCATAAAAAGGTAAGCAATAATATTATTTGCCTTTATGTGTATCATTAACGTATATCTTAGTTCCAATTTTTATTTGAATTAGGCCACACCGACTTAATTTTATGGGTGATATCCGCGCGCGCATTGATTTTTGCCTTTTGCCCTAAAAAAATAAACAGATCACCTCCACCGAGGCCCTGGCCTGGCTCCAGGCCTGGGTAGTCCATGGTAGTTAGCGATGAGCGGTGCCGAACATCCAGGCTATCTAATTCGAAGCTCCACGACTCAAGAACTCAGTACATACGTACAGTACCGATTCATAAATTCCGAAAGAGGCCAGGATATGCCGACTTGTCGTATACGTCGCTAAGTCGTATACATCGCTAATTCACAATACCAGCTTGTATTCCTGTAGTTTAGTAGCATTTTTATTTTTGGCCGGAATTTTTTTAATTCGCCGCGCGCACTAGTTTGGGGTCTTCAGACGATGTCCTCCATAAAATTAAATCGGTGTGGCCTTACACGAATAATATTTGAATCTGTATGTAATGAAACTTCACTTTACACAAAGCAGCTAGCCAGCAGTGGCTGCAACAAAACTCGACGAGAACACAAGCATAAAAACATATATAGATATAAATGGATCAGAATAGACATAAATGATAAAAAATAACAATACAATAATTATAATAAGATGAAAGGAAATAGTCTTTGTTGCATTATTTTCACATTCATTCTCAATTGGGCTGTATGAGTGACGAAAAATAACAACTCAAAATCAAAAATATACACAAATAGGGACTCATGATAAGTCTTTTCGATTTTTTCCTTTTTTGTGTTTTGTTGTCTATCATCTGAAACGTTTCGCTCCATAATACTGCCCGGCCGGGCCCTAGCTTGGAAATGGTACGTCAGCATAAGGTAGAAACAAATTGAACAGTAATAGCTGATCTTTATTAAATAACATTACGATTATAACAGGCCGCAGACGAGATCCTCCGTGTGGCGATAGAAGACCCGGATGGACACGTGCGGTACGCAGCCGCTCTGGACTACCTGAGTCACCCACGTGCCTCCGAACTGTGGACAGCTCAGCAACAAATCAACGACAGGTAAGGGTTGCTAAATATCAAAAGTTTTCACAGTTGAAGGCATAAAACAACAGAAAACATAAAATAGCTTGATTTTG